ATCTTTGAGCCTTCAATTTGTTATGAAATTGAAGGCATGTGGTCCCGTGCATACAGTAGATGCTTTTAAGAATGTTTAAGTGTAGGGAAGTAAAAAAAAAAAAATCTTGTTCACTAAGAAAACATATAAATATATATAAGCCATGTAAGTTTGAAAAGGTATTCCACTATTTGTGTTCAGAACAGCAGAGAACGTTTTACTTCCATCAGCACTACTTATATATTAATCCTGAAAAGAGATTTATGAAGATATTTTGTTAAATCCTGGATCTAAAACAAACAAAAACCTTCAAAACTACAGATTTAAAACATTATTAAATGAATACACTGCAAAAGAAAAATGTGCAACTTGAAAAAAAATATCTGCAGGTTATAAACATTAAAAAATGGAAAAAGGTAGCAACAATTCAGAAGACCATCTGTTTAGCCATGATATGCCAGCAAAACAAACAGGAATTACAGCTATAATGTAAAAATAAAAGATGGTGATGAAGAAAGCAAAACTGACCATCATAGGGTTGACTTACCCTATAAGATTTCAAAATATATCCCAATATAAAACATAATAGTCAAAACCATATGAACAGAATAAAAATTCCAGAAGTTGATTAAAAATATTTGCAGGACTTGGGGTGCCTGGGTGTCTGTTAATATATTACAATCTGTTAGTGAGTTAAATGCCCAACTCCTGATTTTGTCTCGGGTCATGATCTCAGGGTTGTGAGACTGAGCTCCAAGGAGGGCTCGTGCTGGGCATGGAGGCTGCTTAAGATTCTCTCTCTCCCTCTCCTTCTGCCCTTCCTCCCCCACTTGCACTCTCTCTCCCTCTAGAAAAAAAAAACAATTGCAGAACTTATATAGAAAGAAAAAAATAATAAAACTGATATAACATGAGAGAAAGAATCACTAATAAATGATGTAGTAACAAATGCATAGCAGCATTTATGACATCATACATTTGAATAAATTCTGGATGACTCAGTCATTCACTGAATCAACTCATTTATTAATTGTAAGAAGAAAAGAATGAAATGGTTTTTCCATCCCAGCTATGAGCTGGGGATAAAAGTGGAGCTACTGAAGAAATGGGTTTTATTATAAAAAATAATATTTTGAAATACAATATTATGTCATATAATGTCAAACTTCACTAATAACTAGATAAATTACAAGAAAATACACATAAAAGTTACAATAAATTACAGATTACAATATGATATCTTCCACACAAAGTGGCATGAAATCAGGGTAAATGTTTAAGGCTGGGAAGACTGTGGTTAAAAGGGTGCTGGTAGATACTGCTGGTCAGAGTACCTATTGCTAAAAAAAACCATCAAAATGTTCCTACCCATTGGTTGGTTTCTATGTACTATTCCCTAATAGAAGAAACCAGAGTTCTTTGGAAAACGGCTTAACCTAGGGCTTGGGCAGGGGAAATGACAGCTGAAGCTAGTCTACCTCATTGTGCTAGAGGGAAGGGGGGGTGAGTAAAAAAAGGAAGGAAGGGGCACCTGGGTGGCTCAGTGGGCTAAGCATCTGCCTTCGGCTCAGGTCATGATCCCGGGGTTCTGGAATCGAGTCCCACATCAGGCTCCCTGCTCAGCAGGGAGTCTGCTTCTCCCCCTCCCTCTGCCGCTCCCCCTGCTTGTGCTCTTTCTCTCTGACAAATAAATAAAATCTTTAAAAAAAAAAAGGGGGAGTAAGTAAGAAAGAAAATAAGGGAGTAACTAGCCTATGGGGGGGCAACCTGTTAGAAGGCCCACTGAAACCCACCTGAAAGAGCTCCTAATGGCTAACTCCAGAACAGTTGGAGCCTCAAATAAATATTATAATAAAATTCTTAGATTATAAACTAAAGAATAGCATATGTATTCATGAGTCCACACTGATCTAAATAGATAACTGTAAAAATGCATGTGTGGGAGAAGGGATAACTCTTCCTTATAAAATAATTCCACTTCCAGCAATCAAACTTAGGGGAAAACATCAGAGATGTAGTAGAAGACTTCAGCATTCAAAGATGTGTTATGTGTTGGGGCGCCTGGGTGGCTCAGTCGGTTAAGCGTCTGCCTTCGGCTCAGGTCATGATCCCAGGGTCCTGGGATCGAGCCCCGCATCAGGCTCCCTGCTCTGCGGGAAGCCTGCTTCTCCCTCTCCCACTCCCCCTACTTGTGTTCCCTCTCTCGCTGTGTCTCTCTCTGTCAAATAAATAAATAAAATCTTTAAAAAAAAAAAAAAGATGTGTTATGTGTTAACTGCAGTGAGATTATAATAGTTACATTTCTAAAATAGTGGTTTCTCTTTTGACAAATTAGTTTACAGTCATTATAATGTCATTTCCAGAAAATGCTTCTCAGGAAATATCCATAGTATAATGATACGCAGGATATCATTATAGTACATCTATATTTACAATGTGTACTCCAGTTTGGTTACAGTGTGTGTGTGTGTGTGTGTGTGTGTGTGTGTGTGTGTGTAAACAAAGGGTATGTTAAATAAAAAAATAAAAATCATACATAATCCTATTTGTTTTTCCTTGCAAATTTTCTAAATTATTATTTTTTTCTAATAAAATTTAAAACTACAGGTAAATTGGGGTACATATAATTAGTCAATGTGTATCTCAAATATCTTTATCTGAAATAGTTTGGGAGATAGTGTAGGTAAATACATGACTTTTGGTTATTTGTTTGCTTTATATCAGCACCAGAAACCACTATTAATTTCTCTATTGCATTGCTTTATGTGACAAAAGTCAGGGTAGAAACTGAAAATGCTTTTTTCCTAACTTTAAGAAGAAGACTATAACAACCATAATAATTGTTTTATTAATATATTATTACATAATAAAAGTAAATTATTATTAAATAATTGAGCTAATCAATCTCACTCCAACTATGCAGCATCCATAATCTATTTGAAGTATACCTGAGCACAGATCCATCTGTAAAACATCTATTTGTATGTGTTATGCATCTTCTTTTAGGCACCAATGTCCTCTCCAAAACATGCACTCTATACACAATTGTCTAACATGTAAAATGTTAACAAAAACTTTAACTCTGAAATTATTTGACAATATGATATTAAATCATTATTAGACTAAGGTATTTATTTTATTTTGCACATTTAAATCGTTATATCTCCTGAAAATGTTTATAACATAAAAAAGAATGGATGAAATAAATACGGGTCATAAATTGAAAATAAAATCACTTAGAGGGCACTATGCTGTAATTTGACTTTAACCATCCGCAAAGCCCATCTAGTTGTGAATTCTGCATTGACAGCAGCTTCTATCTGGCTTTAGACTATATTCAAACAATGCCTCACGTTCAAATGAAAGTGATTCACCTAATCTTACCAAATATTTACCTACCAAATATTCTTACTTTTTAAAATGTAATTTTGATCCCACAGATCCAACCTTTTGATACAAGATATAGGTAAAATATGTAACTTCAAATATTCTGGAACTCTTGTCAATGAGAAGTTTTGGGGAACATCAAAACAAATGTGGCAAAATTCAGTAACCCTCATCTTAGTCCTGCTAAAAAAGTATTATGCCTTGAAAACCCATCAATGCACAGAACAAGCCACTAAAATGGATTCTGCTTCCTTACCTCACTTTCCAGAGCTCAGCCCAGTGTCTGGCTTACAGATGATAGTCAATAAATGTTCAATTAAAGAAAATTGAAATATACTACTTCTTTATGACATAAGTTATGACGAGCTTTCACTTTGATTCACGTAAAAGTTATGGGGCTGACATAAAATCTAACTGACATTAGATCCATTAACTAATAAAACTGATATTGTTAAAAAAAAGAGGATCCCTATATATAGTTAAACCAAGTAGGTATAAACATAATGACTATTAGTATCAACTTTCACATGTGAATGTACTGTAGAAGATGAGGACCATCTACAGTAAGAAAACTTTAGAAAGCCATAGTTTACAAACATAATTTAGAAATAGTTCTACTGTTAATCAAGTAACGAAAGATTGATGTTTCACATAATTAAACTCCTGATGAAAATGTGAGTAATGAAAAATCAGGAAAACAAATTGGGAAAACATAAATTTAATTTTATAAGTATCCATATTTCCTTCTGACTCATTTTCTTAAAGTAAAAGGAAATGCAGATTTCAGAAGAAGAGAGTAGGGCAACACTGTTTATTCCCTCCAAACACTTAAGATACCAAAAGGGCTGGAACAACTTTAACAGCAGTTCTTACCACCATAAAGAAATGCAGATATTTGTCTGGGTTTTTTCATCAAAATTAATCAAATTAACAAAAAAAATGACGAAAAAGCCATTCATAGGGACACAACCATAGTTAAAAATTTGATTAGGCCATACTTCTGAAAGTGTCTATGTATCTGTGTGTCTACCTATACACACACATAGACACCTACATGCATATGTAACCATGTGTGTGTATACATGCATCCATGAAAACTGAGACTTACTAACATGTCTTGGGAATAATGCACAAACATACTCTTCTTATATGGAACCAAACCTTCTTAATGTTTTTGAGATAATTCACAAAAAAATTCCCCAGAATAAGGCAAAAAGTATTTTATCATACTGCATTCTTTTCAGGAACCATTATGAGATACTCTGTCCTAATATCCCTGGAAGTTTCTAGGAGTTTTAGGAGCAGATGCTTGTTTTGCTTCCTAATAAAAATTTGGAGGAATGTGTCAAAGTAGATTAAACTACGTCAGAGTCTTTAAAAGAAAACCCTGTTCTTCTTTCAAGAAGGTTTTTGTGTAGCAAAAGAAAAACAAATGAGCATTGCAAGCAGTTCTGAAAACACAACTGAGATGCAATTTGATAAATAGCCTTCTATCATCTAAGCCAGAGCAGTGGAAAAGCATGCTCTCAGCACTTTCATCAAAGGCACTATCGACTCCTCTTTTTCTATCTCATTTTATCATGACTTTCTCATTTTGTTCACTCAGTCAGTGATTGGAAAAAATGCCTCCTTACCCCTTGGATGAGTTATGATGGGGTCCACTAGAGAAGGGTCCTTTTCTCCATCTTTGCTGCCGCCATCACTGCCTTCACCACCACCATCTCTTTCAATCAGTTTATCCACCATGGCAATAATGCAGTTCAGGCTCTTCCCCACACTGGCCCACACCCTATCCTGAAAAGAGCATGAGGATCACTACACATTTTTATTGCAAACACGAGATAAGGCAACGTCCGACAAATCCATTTTAGACAAGCAGGTAGAGGAACAATCATAAGAATGCAGACTCCGTGATTAATTCTCACACTCCCATTAATTTGGCCAGACTATGAATGTACAAGAAGAAATCCGTTTTCTCTTAGTAAAGCAAAATTTAAGTGCTATAAATTTTTTATTTAGGTCATTATCTTTTCTAAGTCATAAAACAATGATGAACTACTGTGAAATATTAATCCACAATGGAACACAACCTATGATATTTTAAACTGGACATATCTGTTTTCCTTATCAACATTTAGCAAGAAAGCAAAGAGACACCAATGTTTTTAAAGGATAGCTACAATTTGCATTCAAAATTTTTGTTTTTCCTTATTGTGGTAACATATATAACACTGTTTACCATTTAACCATTTTTGAGTGTACGGTTCAAGGGCATTAAGTACATTCACATTATTATACAACCATCACCACCATCCTTCTCTAGAATTTTTCATCTTCCCAAACTGAAACTTTTACCCTTTCAAAATGAACTCCCCACTCTTCTCTCCCCTGCCACTGGCAACCATCATTGTATTTTCTGTCTCTATGAATTTGACTGCCCTAGGTAACAAAAGTTCTTAAAGTGTGGTCTTCACATCACCTCTAACAGAATGACCCAGAGAATTAAAATACAGATTGTTGGCTCCTACTAAGTCAGTCAGAACCACTAGGAAGAAAGCGTTCACTGAAATTTTGACAAGTTCTTCAGGTGCTTCTGACCACCCTAAATCTGAGAACTTCTACTCAATATTATGTGCTACAGCCATTAATGTCATTGTGGCTGATTTATTTCTTAGGAAGCAACCCCTACCACTAGGGGGTCTCTTTGTCACTCAACCTACCAATTCTGATTAGCATCCATTTTTGTTTAGGGCAATTCATGACACTGAATTCTTTGATTCATAAAAGTTGTTATTTCTTAATACAAAATTTAAATATAGTTATCATTATGGTAGCCTCTCATCCCTTGCTTCCCTTTTTGCTCCTCTCTCCACATCATTTAGATGGAGTCACTGACTCCCCAACTGTGATGGCTAATTTTATATGTCGACTTGATTGGATCACAAGACGTCCAGATATTTGGCTAAACATTATTTATGAGTGTGTCTGTAAGAGTGTTTATGGATAAAATTAATATTTGAATTAGTGGACTCATAAAGCAGTCTGTCCTCCTCAATGTGGGTGAACATCATTCAATCCATTAAAGGCCTGATAGAACAAAAATGTGGAGGAAGTCAAGATGTGATCCTTCTTGCCTGATTGACTGAATCAGGACATTGATCTTCTGCCCTCAGCACTCCTGGTTCTTAGGCTTTCAGACTTGGAATGGAATATACATCACTGGCTCCTTTGTTCTAAGGCCCTTAGACTCAGACTGAATTCCACCACCAGCTTTCCTGGGTCTTCAGCCTGCAGATGGCAGATCTTGCAGATGGCAGATCCTGGAACTTCTCGTCCTCCAGAATTGTGTGAGACAATTCCTTATAATAAATAATATAGATCTAGAGGCGCTTGGGTGGCTCAGTCATTAAGCGTCTGCCCTCGGCTCAGGTCATGATCCCAGAGTCCTGGGATCGAGCCCCGCATCGGGCTCCCTGCTCCGCGGGAAGCCTGCTTCTCCCTCTGCCTCTGCCCCTGCTTGTGTTCCCTCTCTCGCTCTGTCTCTTTCTGTCAAATAAATAAATAAAATCTTTAAAAAAAATATATAGATCTTATTGCTTCTGTTTCTCTGAAGGACCTGAGTACACATGTTAGGTGTATCTTATGTATCACATAAGAACCAAATGGATTTATGGTGCTTTTCTTGCATCTTTCTCTGTAATAGAGCTATTTCAGAGCTATTTGGAATAGCACTTAATGCAAAGATCATACTTAATTATAGTACTTCTTTAGTAGCTTATACATTTTTACCCAAAAGCATATTTTTATCCAAGTTAATTTTGCTAGTTTATAAACAAAGAAACTAATTTTGGGTAAGATAAATCTAGGAAGAAAGAACTATAGTTGAGTTTAGATTATTGGATGGTTGTCTTATAAAGACTAAATTAATTGAATAACGTAACAAACAGATATGGGAGTGTACAGATATGCATACTACAGCAGAGGGGGAAAAGTAGAACATTCAAAGTTTAAAAAGTTAAGTTCGAGATCCACCTACATGACATGCTAACTTGGGAAAACCGCCTCATTTCTGGGGAGTCACAGTTGGTTCATCTACAGTTTAGAATGCCCTGCTTACCTCACCATGCTGCAGTGGGAGTCCAATAACATAGTTTCTATGAAAGTGCTTGGAAAATTATTACAATTTGGCAAAATCACATCCTATTCTTACTGGTTTTCCTAAATGAATCAAACTTGCTTTTTATCACCTTATAATCCTGGGTGTGAAATAATGCTATTAATCATAAATAATCATAAAAATGTTTCCCTTTAAGGCAGATTTCTTCCACCAAAAAATTAAAAGTCCTTCCCTTCTAAGGGAAACTAAGACACCAATCACATCCATAAATTGCTTTATGCCCTGCCTGTTCTCTGAGAAAATAAGGAGGAGGTACCTCTGAGGTATGACCCAGGAGACCTAACAAAGCTCACTTCTTCTGGGATGAAACATGGGGAAAGGTAAGCAAACTGAGGTCCTGACATCACTTGTGTTGGGATTTGGTGAGGAGCTTACATTTCCGACCACAGTAACAAACTTACTGGCCCCTATTCTGAATATGGCTTAATTTCCACCAGCAACTACATCTTTAAAGTTGTTGAATGGAAAAATGAAGTAACTCTCCAGCTAACACTGGGAATAAACTCTGTTATTGAGGGGAAAAAAAAAGGGTAGAGGATTATTCTTAATTTTCCAGATTAGCTTTGTACGTGAGATAAATTTTCAACTCTCTTCTTGTTGCCCATGTTGAGAGGAACCTTATATTCTGATCAAAAATCAAGTAGTATTGCATGCTGCCTTTCTTATAGAAAGTAATATAAGGGGTTAACCAATTTCTCTTAATTACATCTCCAAGGGCCAGAATATAAGAATATATAAAAGGATAATTTTACATTCTACTCCTATATATTGTTCTTCCTTTATAAGATACTTTGGGCTATAGGATTATACTCACAGAAAAAGTAATCTTTGCAGCCAGTTAGAGAGAACTTTATTGACATGAGATGCAGAGTGAAGTATGTTCATTGGATGAGACCAACAACCATATGGTAAGAGGTTAGGTGGCAAACAGTAGAAGAACATTTAAGTCATTAAATACTTAGAAGACACACGAGCTAGGAAGATGTTTGTTGGGGGTGAGAAATTGAGCAGTTTCTTATGCAAAACAAATAACATAATTCTTACATAATCAAATTTTTTTACTGAAGACACACTCAGCAGGAGACCCCAAGCGGACTCAAGCTGGTCTTTATCTTTTGGAGAGGAGATCCTGCCTAGCTGGTGGGGAGAGAATGCTGAGTTTTGCTAGTCACTGCTTCTTTTTGCTTTATGGTATCTACAAAGTAGATTAAAGTCATCCATTTGCATTGCTGTCTCTCATACTAGTCTATGAGTTGTTTGAGGGCTGTGTCTTCACTACACTGCACAGGGCCTGGAGGAAAGGCAGAGAGAGAGAAATGGAGTAGAGGAGAGAGGAGAACAGACATGACTCCGACCCAGAGGCAGATTGAGAGCTGCTATTTATATTCACCTGCTATATGAAATTAGCTAATCTACCTTCAAAATCACCACATAAGATGAACATTATGGACTCAGTCTTTAGAGGCGAGGAGACTTAAGGTAAGAGATATTGAATAACATTCCACATGAAAATGGGTATAACTAAATTAGAAATCCTATCTGGTTTCAAAGACTTGATTCTTCCCCTAGGATCTCCCACAGAATTGTGGCACACAGTAGGAATTCTTCTTTGTGAGATTACTAGAACTCTGGGGACAAGCTAGACAGAGGAAGGTCAGGAGAAGGAGCCACAGGAAGGATCACACAGAGGCGTGTGTCACTTTACATGAACAAGAGTAGGTGTCAGTTATCTGAGACTTGAAAATGAGTCCAATGGCAAATCACTAAGAGATGATTCTGAAAAAAGTCTGGTCACATTGTACCCTTAAGTTTGAAATCAAGAGGGTCATACAATCAAGGATAGAACAATCACTTAGCTGAAAGGTCAATGAACTTGGGTCAAAGGACATAAGTGACTTACATAAACAGAGGACAGTGTCGGCATCAAAACCCAAAATCTATTCATGTGGCTGGGAATGGGTTATAGGGAGGAAAGATAACTCAATTTCTAGGAGATAATTATTAATTGTTCTTAGCAAAATCATTATTTTGAAATTAGGATGCTAAAAATAGATAGGCAATATTCTTGAAGGGAAACCTTAAATATCTGATTTCTCTCCTAAACAAACCACTTTCCATAATATCTCTGTGAAAGCATTCACACAAAGGAAAATGATCATCGAAAATGCATTCTAATTCTGATAATTTTCACTCATAAGGACAGTCCATGTAGAAGCTTCTTTTTGCTTAGATTGCTAGTATGGCTGGGGCCTACTCCATTTTCTCCCTACTAAGATCACACAATATGTTTCAGATTGCTGCCACGAAGAAAAAAGGCTGGTCAGTGGGGTGAAGACAGTGGAAGCATAAGAATGTGGCTATAGTCCATGGTGCTTCCATCCTTCCCCTTTTCAGGTCAGGGATACTACTCTAGATCCTGCTTAGCTCCACAGCCACTTGCGAGGTTTCAAAACAAAACAAAATGAATCAAAACCAAAACCCAAACCAAAACCAAACTAAAACAACAACGTATCAGAAAAACATCTTGCTGGGCCTTCCCCCCCCCATAAATAGCAACCATTATCCTATGTCTCCTGCTGAAGTAAGTAATGGAAAATTGGTGGGTTACAGTCTAACC